GTGACTGCTAATGATACAGCAAAATGTTCTTCTTACTGTTCCCAGTTCTGCTCAGCTGCTACCACATATAAAAATAAAAGCACTGATTTGCTCAGGTGACCTGGTTGATTTGGGACTGAGTGCATTTAGGAGCACACACCTACATAAACCGTGCTATTCTCTGCCGTATCACTGCCGAGCATCCAGCTGAATGTTTTTGCAAGTGATCTGTTTAATTTCCAGGCTGAAGATTCAGAGCAAAGCCAGACGATTTGTCAGTCTGTGTTGTAATTCTGCTCATATCATCCTCCTTTCCTGTTCACGTCCCTCTGAAGACTGTAATTTTGTCTTCATTTGCTCAGATCTAGATAATGCATGTATTTTTGAGGTATTCCTCTGCCTGTTCAGGTCTGATTATATCTGATCCATTACCCAGACCCGCACAAACGCCAGTCATCTTCCACATCAATGACTCCTCTGTTAAATAACTTTGATGATCATATAAGATGACATGGATATGATATACTCAGACGTGGTTCTAAACGTCAGAGCTTTTGTGACATTTGTCGTCTTGGACTGTTTGTCCATGTACACAACAGATGCGGCCCGCACATGTAATGCATGGTCTGGCGAGTCTTATCAGCTCTAATGTAACATGATTCTGTCACAAACCTGCATGTCAGTGGTGGCACTTGCCAGTTTTAACCTCAGGAGTCTCTTCACGTTGCTTGTCTTTTCTCTCTGTACTTTTCTGAGTGATTAGACAATGAAAAATCCCATAGATTTAAAATGAAGAAGAGACTCAAGCTATCAGACTTTGGGATTGGGCTGGGATGGGATTGTAATCCTGAAAATAAATATTTATTTAGTCAGTCAGTCCGTTAGTTAGTTAGGTAGTTGTGCATTTGGGCAAAAATTTGATTTATTTATCAATTTCACTCAATAATAATAATTGTTGTTTTTATTATTGTATTATAATAAATGATTGATATTGTTATTATTTTAAATAGTTTTATTTTGATTAATCATGCTGCCCTACTTTGGGATGTACTCTTCTGACTTGGTCCAGTTATGAACTACCTAGTATCTACATAGAAATGCTCAAGACTGAATTGCAGAGCTTTTGCAACTACCCACAACACCCCAAATCATGGAGGTAACTTTTGTACGGACAAGCAATTGTATTTTTTACAATTGCTCGGTCCGAGCGTTTTAATATGCTTTCCTACCTGCCTGTCAGCGTATGTATTATCATACCTCTGCGTGCCGGGTTCGCGCAGACAGGATACGTCATCAGCTCGTTCATGCATGCTGTGCAGACAGCGCAAATGGCAGACAAACAGCAACAACCCGATCTTCCTTCCTGGTATTGTAGTACTTTTAAAGTTTTCTCACAGGTGAATGACGCATGATGTAGCCCAGCGGTTAATCCAGTCCTCGTGCTAGCTCGTTAGAAGTGAGCTACATGCATGAACTGTGTTCCGATTGATATGATCCCTACACAGTGTTCATTGCTCCCTACTCCCTGAGCAGGGGAAATCCGTTGAAGTTTACTTCACTTCGGAACATGGGCTGGAATTGGGAACCGCTGATGTATGACTGCTAATGATACAGCAAAATGTTCTTCTTACTGTTCCCAGTTCTGCTCAGCTGCTACCACATATAAAAATAAAAGCACTGATTTGCTCAGGTGACCTGGTTGATTTGGGACTGAGTGCATTTAGGAGCACACACCTACATAAACCGTGCTATTCTCTGCCGTATCACTGCCGAGCATCCAGCTGAATGTTTTTGCAAGTGATCTGTTTAATTTCCAGGCTGAAGATTCAGAGCAAAGCCAGACGATTTGTCAGTCTGTGTTGTAATTCTGCTCATATCATCCTCCTTTCCTGTTCACGTCCCTCTGAAGACTGTAATTTTGTCTTCATTTGCTCAGATCTAGATAATGCATGTATTTTTGAGGTATTCCTCTGCCTGTTCAGGTCTGATTATATCTGATCCATTACCCAGACCCGCACAAACGCCAGTCATCTTCCACATCAATGACTCCTCTGTTAAATAACTTTGATGATCATATAAGATGACATGGATATGATATACTCAGACGTGGTTCTAAACGTCAGAGCTTTTGTGACATTTGTCGTCTTGGACTGTTTGTCCATGTACACAACAGATGCGGCCCGCACATGTAATGCATGGTCTGGCGAGTCTTATCAGCTCTAATGTAACATGATTCTGTCACAAACCTGCATGTCAGTGGTGGCACTTGCCAGTTTTAACCTCAGGAGTCTCTTCACGTTGCTTGTCTTTTCTCTCTGTACTTTTCTGAGTGATTAGACAATGGAAAATCCCATAGATTTAAAATGAAGAAGAGACTCAAGCTATCAGACTTTGGGATTGGGCTGGGATGGGATTGTAATCCTGAAAATAAATATTTATTTAGTCAGTCAGTCCGTTAGTTAGTTAGGTAGTTGTGCATTTGGGCAAAAATTTGATTTATTTATCAATTTCACTCAATAATAATAATTGTTGTTTTTATTATTGTATTATAATAAATGATTGATATTGTTATTATTTTAAATAGTTTTATTTTGATTAATCATGCTGCCCTACTTTGGGATGTACTCTTCTGACTTGGTCCAGTTATGAACTACCTAGTATCTACATAGAAATGCTCAAGACTGAATTGCAGAGCTTTTGCAACTACCCACAACACCCCAAATCATGGAGGTAACTTTTGTACGGACAAGCAATTGTATTTTTTACAATTGCTCGGTCCGAGCGTTTTAATATGCTTTCCTACCTGCCTGTCAGCGTATGTATTATCATACCTCTGCGTGCCGGGTTCGCGCAGACAGGATACGTCATCAGCTCGTTCATGCATGCTGTGCAGACAGCGCAAATGGCAGACAAACAGCAACAACCCGATCTTCCTTCCTGGTATTGTAGTACTTTTAAAGTTTTCTCACAGGTGAATGACGCATGATGTAGCCCAGCGGTTAATCCAGTCCTCGTGCTAGCTCGTTAGAAGTGAGCTACATGCATGAACTGTGTTCCGATTGATATGATCCCTACACAGTGTTCATTGCTCCCTACTCCCTGAGCAGGGGAAATCCGTTTAAGTTTACTTCACTTCGGAACATGGGCTGGAATTGGGAACCGCTGATGTAACCTATTGTAGTAATGTTGTCTCTGGTATTCTGGTCTGTGAGCGTAAATGCGTTCAGGGGGCGTGGCTTTCGAACGGCGATTGCAGGGAGGGTGGGACGTTCGATTTCAGTGCTATCAGGCTAAAGTTAGCATTTTCCAAGATCTCCTACTGCACCTTTAATATCTTGTTTTTTTTAGTAGATCTGTTGCTAAACAAATGCTCTGGCACACTTCTAAGTGCTCAATTTAATCCTCTTCCTGTTTCTTTTCCTCTAAACAAAATGATGGACCGTTCCCACCCTCTCTTTCTCTCAGTTCCTTTGTGTTCCACGTCGGCTCGCTTTCATGGTCTTATATGAGTGAAATGGTGAGGTAATGGTGGTCGGCTGAGAGAATCAGAGAGAAGGAGGGTTGTTCTTTTGAGAACAGTGTGGCAGAAGTGTTTTGTTTGCAGCTGTTTGCTTTTGTACTGCAGAAGGCTCGTGGCGGAGTACAGTAATGTTTCTCTGGCAACAATTGAGTCTCTCTTGTCCTCCTAGTGGAGCGGTGACTTGGTCGTCACCTCTCGTTCTCTTTCTAACACCTACTCGCGCACTCTCGACATCACTCATGAATATTGGGGTGACTGACAAATATTCAATAAATAAACAGGCTGAAAACATCATAGTCTGTACAAAAACATTGATCACTGCAGGCAGTTTGAGGGCGAAGAATTTTCACAACTTGTTGAATGTGGTAAATGTTGCAAACACAGTGCTTTTATAACTATAGGTGTTGTGTTGCAAGTGGGCTAAATCTAAAATGCAACCATCCCAAAGGCTTTTTTCCAGTATTGACTTTTAAACGCGTACTGTTAAGGCAGACACATCAAGCTAACTGTCGGGCCTCCGTTAAGCGTCTGTTAACCCAGTTTTTGCAGTGTTTTGTATCGTTGGCACTAATTTCTGGAGTTTTTGTTATTGAATGATGAATATAGCCTACTGCCACCTGCTGGTATGTAGAGTTATTTCCTCTCACGCAGGTTCAGAATGTATGTGTTGTCTGTTGGCTGTAAACTTTGCAGTCTGTTCAAATGCTGAGATGCAGGCAATGTGAGGTGATACCACAGTTGACTTTCATTGCCGCTAGTTATTTGATATCCAGGTTCAGAATGTATGTGTTGTCTGTTGGCTGTAAACTTTGCAGTCTGTTCAAATGCTGAGATGCAGGCAATGTTAGGTGATACCACAGTTGACTTTCATTGCCGCTAGTTATTTGATATCAGTTTGGTGTGTCTGGGCCTTTACCATTTATGGGGAAGTCGTGGCCTAATAGTTAAGAGAGTCGGACTCGTAACCCAAAGGTTGCGGGTTCGAGTCTCGTACCGGCAG